GGTTTCGGTTTACAAGACGATTTGCTAGAAAAGTGGATTCGTTCGTTTGGATGTAGTCCTCTCAACATGACCCTCACTCTCCTGTATTTTATTGCAACTTTTACCACGCGAACTTTAGAGTAGCTCAGCCAACAACCTGCCCTTGCATTAACTCCAGGTGCTTTGTCGATTAAAGTCCGCTGTATATGTGAAAATCGAATGTAAGATACGAGTACAGTTGTTGGCGCTATCGGCTACCAATGTCGAATGATATCGTATCGGGTCGCACCGAGTTTGGTATAGCACTCCGCTCGCCATCTGGGATTTCATCGCTCGACTAAATACCTGTTAACGACCTACTCTGCGCTGTTCAACTACCTCCACTCGACGAAAATCCTCGCTTGTTGAGATAATGAACGTTTTTTGTGTGCCCATTTATGTACCAAATGACTTGGTCCCTCAAGAAGACAACGAAAATGTCGGATTATAAGACGGCGAACAGTTCACAGGTGCACAGCAGTTATCCGCTGAGGGGATATCACAGCTGCTCAATTATTCCGTGATTCCACAGTTTGTCTCGTAAAACCAGTGAATGAGTGGTTCGACTCATGTGGCTGTAGGGGCTGGCTTCTTCCGAAGACACAGGGAGCAATGCATGGATAAGAGACTTATGCTTGCTGCGCCCAAGAGATTCATCTGGAACGGGATAAGACCGGAGGGATTTTGCAGCTTTTGACCATTAATTAATGCGTCGGCGGCCATCGTCTGTGGTTGGCAATAGAAATGTGCGACCCGTAAACCTACTTTCTAATCCGTCTTTCCTTGGGAAAAGGCAACACGGCTGCGTGTAAGAATCACCTCACTGCTTCCACATCTGGTCGCAGGGGACAGTACTTCCATCGTCTCATAATACCATTGTCCGCAGTACAGTAACTTTTATCTGGCTGATTCCCTCAGGTATCTCTGGAGTGATTGAGGGACGAAGTTCTAAACAGCGCAATGCTCAAGCTCGGCCACCTCGCCTATATGATAGCTATCGTCGTACGTCTCCAACTGTTACGTTACCTATCCAGCATATGGTGCATAGACTGGTTATCTGCAGTGGTCTAATTGTCAGCTTTGGGAATGATCTGAAAACCAAAGGCCTCTTGGACAAACACTTACTGCTCACTAGCCGCTAGATTGTTCTAAAAGTCAACAGGTTGTTGCAACAAAAACTCCCGAAACGCTGGCGATAAAGTCCTACGAAGGATTATCGTCATTTTTGGGGTAACGGTACAACGTGTTGGCATTGCATGTATGTTGCGCAAACGATATGCTTCTGGAAGCGGTTTTCAAGTTGATTTTGACAGTGCGCTTATCTCTCAGTACTTCTAATCATGTCACAATGGTTCTTTGACTCCCAGCCACACAGCTTAGTCGACTCTACACCACTTGGAATTCCAGTTCTCCCTGTTCCTTCGCCTTACAGTAGGTTTCCTATACGTTCGTTTCTCCCAGTCAGGACGAGCGCGTACGAACAGGATGCTATACGGCAGATATCGTGACTTACGTAGAAAGTCAACTGACCAACGTAGTAGGTATGCTTGAATGGTGGACTCTAGAGGTGGGTTGAATAGCCCAGGTACTATCCGACGCATTTTATGACTTACGCGATGTTGCCAGACGCTGGCAGTATTACCCAAACAACGACTGTCGGATAGTTATGGTCGTTAGGCTCTTTCAGCGCGAGTAGACCCTACAGTAAACAAAAATAAAAACAATATGATAATCGTTTACCCATTTAGTGCCTAGCTGCCATACCCCTCGAAAGAAGCAAGGGGGCTGGAGACTGTCGGATAGTTATGGTCGTTAGGCTCTTTCAGCGCGAGTAGACCCTACAGTAAACAAAAATAAAAACAATATGATAATCGTTTACCCATTTGGTGCCTAGCTGCCATGCCCCCCGAAAGAAGCAAGGGGGCTGGATCAGGTTGCCCAAGCCCAGATAGAGGAAGTCGAGAGTCAGTGGTCGGATTCCAACCACGGACCTTGTGGTCAGTGAACAGGCGCTGTAACCAAAGCCGTCTCGCTCCTTATAGTGGGCTTGCGCGCACTTTTAGGTGCCGCACTGCATGCTCTATTCCTAGGTTCCTGATCACCAGTTAACAAGACTGCAGCGCGAGCCGCTGTAATATGTGTGCCGTTTGTAAAATACGGCATGGAAGGTGTCCTTTAAATAAGTTTCCGTGAAGTACTGATTATTATCTTATGGTGGTCGTCGCCAGTGAAGCCGTATTTAAATTGGTTTATGTCGACTCTCGTGATCTTTGTGTCCAAAATTTCCTATGGGTGTAGTTGTTGAGGGAATTACGTTTAAGGGTTCATCTAAGAAGATTGGTTTTATCTTCCCATGTCGAGGATAATCCCTATTCTTCCAGGTTATTTCGTGCAAGCCCCGATTTCGCCCCGCAGCATTTTATCGTGCTTTCAAATGGCGCACCCTTATCTGCCCATCGTCGATCATTTCCGATTTAACCTCTGTCATCTTTCAGAACTTAATCGCCTTTGTTCTTCGGGCCACCTTTACCAAGCCATTTCCCCAATGTTGGTCCAGGCTTTTCACTTCCTCTCTCAACAAACCACACTGGGTGCGCCATTTTCATATATATATATATATATATATATA